GGTGCATGGGTCTACTTGAGCCATTCAAGTTATTGCTTTTCTCTGAGTTTGAGCAATAATTTGATTCTGTCAGTTCATAATATGAATCATGACACCCAGACTGGTTCTTGATAGTCGAAGTTCTTGTTCTAGGCCCTTCCGAACTCTCAAAGCAGGATTTATTTTTTATATATTAATGAGAGGAAAATAGACTAAGTCAAACAAGACCCCAGTACGACATTGAACACTGACATGTTGTTGAATGGATACCTGTATAATGTACGCGTGTGTGCTCCCTTTTTCGAGCTGGTGAGCTAGTAATTTATTTTCAGGAAATATTGCTGGACACCCTGAACATTGTACTATTACTGGTTAGTCGGTCGGCCGTGGGGAATACACATTTTCCCCTGAAAATACACATTTTCATGTTTCCCAATACTCATTTCGGTTTTCTGTGGTTGGCATCTCTGACTTTGTGGCAGGTTGAAGTTCTTAGGTCTCCAAGGGTGGAGTCCCCCCTCCCTTTAAAGGGATGGAAGTGGGGGGTTTTCCCCCCTACAAATGTCTTAATGTTTATAGGGAGAAAAAAATTCAGGTGTACCACTTTGCATTATCTTGAGTAAATGAAAATGCCTTTTGATTGTTTTTCTTTTCCCCTTTTGCTCTCGCTGTGTTGGTTTCCACCTGGTCTTTTTCTCAGCACTTAATATTCATTGTATCTGGTTGGGTCTTTATTAAAAAAACAACCAAAAAACATCAAATTTTAGATGCAGAAGGGTGTTTATTTTGGATGATATTGTCTGTTTCAGATTACGAAATATTCCGACGCCTTTGAGGATATGCTGGAGGACTCGAGCTTCCTCAACGTCTCTGCCTTAAGCCACCCAGAGGACACAGAGATGGAAGGCAGCATGGCATCACTGGACAGGTCGGACGGTGCCATCTTCTCCCTGGAAGGTTTGAAAGAGGGCATAGAAACTGAGGACACCAAGTTTACCCCTGTGGCAGAGTCGTTGGCGTCGCTACCGGCCGCCGCAGCAGACGGAGAAACTAGTCAGAAAGGAGATGACACTGGTGGAGCCCTTCCGGACTCTGCACCCACACTTGGGGCGGAAGTTTTGCCACCGCCGCTACCAAAAATAGATGCGACCAGCGCTCGCGAGAGGGGAGACAGCGAGGGTTCGCTCCCGTGTGGCTCGCCGGTGAACCCGTTCCCTCTCCTGGAGGACCACCTTGTGTCCCAGGTGGCTGTGTCGACAGACGAAGTCTTCGACAACCTGGAGCTTCCCCACGCCGAGGCGCCACCGCAGGCCAAGAGAGTGCAGCCCACCCGAACTAAGGACACCTACTATTTCTACCAGGGTGAGTGGCCTCTTTTGTGTGTGGAGGTGGTTTTAGCTAGGGCTACATTTAACACAATGTGATAGTTTGAGGCCAGGCCCTGGAGTTTGGGTAACTTTTTTTTTTCCCAATTAGAATTACAGCATTTTGAGTTGGGTAGTGTTAAGGATTAGGCCCTTTTCCGGGTATACTGGTTGTTTGGTAGCTGGGTCCTCTATCTTAACATCCAGCTCCGATGGGTATGATAGCTCTCCAAATGATTCAAATGAGGAGTGAGATGTTGGGTATTTGCATGATACTGAGCTAACAGCGTATTCACCCTCTTTGCGAAGAGTGGCATATTGATAGCATGGGATGGGTTGTATACATTTTCTTCAAGTATTTGTTGTGTTTGACTTTGTATGCTCTACTGCTATGCATAAGAATTTTTTTTTAAGTTCTGTTTTTTTATTTTTTAAATTATTTTTTGCTTGTTTCCTGAAAAACATACAAAAAGTGGCTAGATAACATGTGTGCTAATCTTATGTAAAGTGATTGTGTGTAGATCTCGTATTAAGTAAAAAGACACCCTTGTACTCCCTTTTATTTTTCAAAAGTATACATTCTTCATTGTATTTTTTAGAACTCTGAAAAAAAATGTCAGATTTATAGTGTCAATTTGTCTAGTAACTTTTTGAAGTCTTGTTATTTGCCATTTTCTTTCTTTGAGATCTTATTACTTAAAAAGCTTTTTTTTTTCTTGGTCTCTGTCATGTGTGTAGCCTCCAGTGGCCAGCACATCTACATGCACTCGCTGAATGCTCGGTGCCTGCAGCAGGAGTACGGCAGTCTGGAGCACGGCCCAGAGACCATATCTGCCAGCATTGTGGCCATCAAGCGCATGTTCATGACTGAGGTGAGGATGGGAGGGGGAGAGGCGGCACTGTGGTGTGTGGTCAGCACCTCACGACCTCAGTGCTGTTTTGTCCAATCTCCATTTTTAATATCAGTGAAAACTGTTCATATCAAAGAGTGAGCTGAGAAGAAATCATGTTTTCAAAGTTTAAAAACATGGAGAAAGTACAAGAAAGCACTGTGGTCAGCACCTTCTAGTCTTTTTTTTTTTGTTCTGCATCGCTATTGTCACGGTGTCGATATGTTTTGAGGAATTGCAACTGTTGTGGCACTGGCCTGTCTTGGCCTACCTTCAACATTGGTATTACTGTTGAAAAGTAATGTAAACTGCGTGCTTTGTGGTATTAAATGTTAATGTATGTTTTTTCTGATTTTTGTTCAGGTTTTTTGAGTCAATACAGTTGAAGATGCAGCAGAATGAGTAGTGAGAAAGGGTTGGATAAATTAAGATTGAAAAGGTTTTCGATCAGCTTTTTAAAAGCATTACCTCTTGAAACAAGTGTTGAATTGTTTGCGATGCTTCCTGTTTTTCAAATGTTCAGATATTTGATTTTTTTTATTGGGGTCTACCTGCAGTACCCAATAGGAAGGAAAAGCTTACTTTTTAAGTCCTTTACAGGCAGGCCCTAGTTGTGTTTATTTTGTAATGTTCCTGTCCTGTTTTTTCAGTGGGAAAGCATCTTGAAATAAATTTTGTGACTTCTTTCGTTTGTTTAGGATGTGCGGAAGCGGCTGCGTTATTTGAACCACATCCCACTGACCTGTGAGTTCCACGTGGTGGAGTTGAATTTGAAACAACCACTGGTTAGCAAGGAGACTCTGAAGATGTTTAGAGGTAAGCAGCTTCCGTATTGTTTTGTCTCATTTTTTTCTTTCTTTTTCTAGCAATGTTGTTTTTGCTGTAAATAAGTTTGTTTAATGCTGGACAATAAAGCTAAATTCATGATTGGATTAGCGAAGTGACAATTGTGAACTTTGTGTTTCAAGGGAAGTTTTCAATATCAAGGCCCTCCACTGACATGGCTTTGTTTTAATGGAAATAGATCTTGGATTTAGAGGTTTTGTCTCTGAGTTACCATGCAGTGTTAAAAATAGGAGCATTATTTCAGTTCTGTCTCATACTATACAGTTGTAGCAGTTATACTTAGGTCATGTAATGGAAACTGGATTTTGTACAATTTTAATGTAAATGTAAACAAAATATGAGTTAAGTATAGAGAATAACTGTGTGCTTATTTGGTCAGAAGTATGTCTTAGTTCTTTGTTCCCGGGTTTCTGAACAGTGGGGCCTGTGAATAGAAGATACCTCCTACATTTTATTTTCTTTTGTTTTATATGGTGGTGGTCCCCAGACCCATACTAATTCTAACAGTGACTTTTTGTTGTCTGTTGTTTGTCATGAAGTAAAATTGTACGGTACAAAGAAAGGATTAGGCATTACAAATTTTGAGTATTTGCCTCCTGAAAACTCGCATGGAAGAATCATATTTATTTATTTTTTGTTTCGTTGGCAGCTTTACTAATAATCCCTGCACAATTGTGTATGTTTATTTATGCTGTGGTTTCATACTTTGAAATCTCACTGTTTCCTGGGCGGGCTGTTTATTTAGCAGATATCATCCGGCACAGCAGTGCCTATGTATCTGGTTTGAAACCCTTTTTCTGGAACTTAATTTGTTACGGGAGTTTTCAGGACTTTTCCCCGATTTTGATCTGTCATATGGCAGATACCACTTGTTTGATAGCCATATAGTCTTTTCAGGGTCTTTGAAGCCATACATCTTACTGTATCCATTTCAGGGGAGATTGAAGCTCTTCGCAAGGATAGGCAAAAGAAAGCCAGAGAGGAGAAGAGAAGAGCCAAGGAGTTGGAGCTAGAGCACAAGAAAGCGCATGGCATTTGTAAGTACTTTCATAGAGCAATAGAAGTTTTCTGTACAATTTTCAATTCTCATTGGCATTTTCATTTGTTATGGTTACAGTGCTTTTGTTGATCAAATCTTTCCTGTCAAACACCTATCCTCCTTATCTCTTCTTCTTTTTTGTGTACGTTACACTCTTGTAACATCTATTCTTCGGCACTTATATGACCTTATTGTGTCGCAAGTGCAGTAAAACTCTTACTAAAACCAAAAAAAAGTGGAGTAAGTCATTGCTCTGTCTTGCGAACAATGGTTCTGATTTGTGTTCTTGTTTTAGAGCAGGTTAGGCATAGCAGAACCATATTAGTTTATTGGCACATTAGATAATGGGCATGGGTTGAGGTTGGTTTGTAATTTTTACTTTGGCTGCTCATTGCAAGACTCTTTCGTACATAACTTTCCAAAATAATAATAATAAATAGCATTTGTACTGCGCATTTCTATTTTCTAAAAGATGCTCAATGCACATTACAACGGAAAGACATCACATCTTAAAAAGTAATTTAAAATGGCGTATGGCGGAGTCTTACCCCAAGCAGTCGACATATTTGATTTGTTTCTCATTATCGTGTGCTCATAAATTGATTTGTGGAGGCTGCCACAGCAAGGTACACGAGGTCTGGTTAGACGATTGCTTATAGCGCTTTCTGCTGTGCGATTTCATGAGTACTTTGTATTTCCAGACCCGGACGTGAATCTGCGGCTGGACAGTCAGCGCCAGTTCCCGTCCCACCTAAGCACCTCGACAGCAAAACCGGGTTCTCAGGGTGAGGAAGACACAACAGAGTCGACCTCTGACACCTTTGAACGCTCGTCAAGCTCTCAGTGGACCGCGGAGGAGGCATCATCGTCTTCTACCTATGATGGCCAAGAAGCTGCTGCTGCTGGTACTAAACTTATTTAAAAACTCTTTGTGGGTGGTTGGCTGGTGCTTTAGTGTGGTCTGGTCGTTTTTTCCTTTCGAACAATATGTCGTACTGATCTCTCTTCCCTTTCTGTGTTTGTTTCTCTCCTGTAACACCTCTCTAATTTTTGGTACTTATATGACTTTATTGTGTTGCAAGTGTCCTAAAACTCTTACTAAAACAATCAAATAAAACCTTTTTCTGCCTAATTGTAAATTTATTCAGTATAATCCACTTATATCGAAGTCCGATTTATCGACATTTTGACATTTCAACATATTTTCCAATTATGAAATTTTTCCTTGCGCACTGGGCTGCATCTCGCGCACTGGGCATCACCTCCCTACCCCCACTTCCGATCGCTCACTCCCCTTACGCATCCCATTCTCAGTCTGTCGCTGGCAAGTGCCACGGTCAGCGAGTCAGTGCCTCGCTTTTCCATTTTCCCCAGCAAGCGGTCATAAATAGGCCTTACTAGGATGCTACAACAAAGTTTGCGCTGGTGTGTAGTGTGCGCCTCGCGCTGCTCACTCGATCTTTGGTACTGTAACCACAAAAACGGAATAGAGAATCAATCTATACATCTACTATATATTTGGCAACTTGGAAACACATGTGTCACTTTTCCCTCAAGATTTATTGCTCCATTCCAGTTGAGTGTAAATATAGTAAGCCAATGACTTTCAGTTGATGTTAATGCACCAATCATTCCTTTCACCGTAAAGGGGCCCAGCTAGTTTATATATATATCGATATCAAATCCACTCCTCAAAGCATGTCATGTCGATATAAGCGGGTTGTTCTTTAACCCTCATCCTGCGGGAGCCTGGTTTATGTAGTCCGATAAGCCTGTTTCGGCACCTCGCTGCGTTCTGGTCCCGAGTCAGTGTAGCTCCTGGTTCAGCGCACGCGCAGCGCGCATCCTCTTACGTGTCATTCGGGTCCCGAGTCGGATCCCCATTCACGCAGGTCAAGTGTGTGTGCGTCAGTCTGCTTGAGTTTGTGTGCGTTTGTGGCCTTCTTCTAGAACCACCTGCGTTGGTTCGTAATCGAGGCATACGTCTCATTCAAAACATGCCAAGTTGATAGCTCTAGATGTTTGTCCAATGAAATTATAGAAGAAATTGACCCACTTAGACATGAGGAGCTCGAAAGGATAGTCAGGAAACAAGACTTCCATTTTTCTATACAAAATATTTCAAATGAGCTTGATTTTGTATGAAATGATAAACCTGATAAAAAATGAGCTTGTTTAATAGTTTTGAATACCCTTGTGCAGGTACAAAGAACAATTTGAGTGTAAAACATTCGGAAATTGACCTAAATTATCCCTTTTCGAACCTCAAGTCATTCATAACAACAAGAGCGTCCAGAAAGGTTTTTCAAATGGGCGTAACTACTCGTAATGTCTTATCAGCTTGTGAGAGGGGGTTATTCAAGTGTTTGTAACACTTTATAAATAGAATGCTATGAAGGATAGAGCGTTATTTTCATCATTAGTTAACACACTCCCGCGGTATTCATGGCGAAAACACACGTTCCCGGCGCGTGCGCTGTACACCAACAGTACACACTGAGTGACCTCGGCGGCCTGCCCGGCGAGTCCGACGTAATCGGTTGCTGATAAGATACGCATCTGGGCACAGACGCAGGATAAGAGTTAATACTGTATGTAGGGCAGCATGTTTGTCTTTTGGTCTCTTTCTCGTGTTTTTTTGTGGGTTTTTTTAATGTTGGGAAGGGGGGGGGAGGGGTGATGTAACGAATACTACTGTGTTTATGGGTTGTAGTTAGTGTAAGTAATCACAAAGTGGTGGTTCGATGTAGATGGGTTGTTGGTTGTTCCTCTTTAGTGGGGTATGTTTTCACTGAGACATGACTTGTTGTTCTCGGCTATTCTAAAGCACGACTTAAGTGCTGGAAAGTACCTTACTTCTTGGCAGGTTTATTAAAATAATTATTATTGAAGTTGATTAAAAAAAGAAAATAAAAAAAAAATTTTGAGGGGGGAGAACACCATAAGCAGTAAACATTTTATATTGCATTCTTGTTGTCATTGTTGCGTCCTGAGTAACAGCGGTGCAGAACTTGTCTTTTGTTGTTTTTTTCCCCAAACACTGAATTGGTGAATGTCTCTGTAAGCTCCCTTGTTCACCGTATCTTGTTTTTGTTTTTTTGGTCCTAGGTTTGGGTCCACAGTCTGGATCACCGATGAGCCCTAGGAATTCTGCATGGGACTCCAAGTCCTTTGCTAAGGTAAATTGAGCTTCTGGGATTTTGATTTTAGCCTTTGTGCATTTGTTTAAATTACCGTCTGTTACCGGACAAATAAGCAGCTTCGGTGTTATCTTTTATTTTCCTCGTAATACAGTGTTGACTTGGGTTCACTGATTTTCTATTGACAACCATGATAATGATATGTAAGTACTGTATAGACATATTAATACTTGGATGAATGAATATACCAGTGTTTATGGGGAAGGGTTGACATTGAACACTGAAGACGTAAGATATTTTATTGTGTATACTGGGCTGTTAGTTGTTTTCCACCCCGCTTATGACCAAAACTGAGTTGATTGTGCCGTTAAACACCTACTCAATCAATCAATCGTCACCAGAGTTGGTGCCAACAGGCTGTGTGGATGCAGCCAGCCTTCTGACTGATCTAAATTATAACGACGGGGGATGTGAAATGTTTATCAGTCAGTTTTGTTACCATTGTGTTTTCACCAACTCATTTCTCCTCAGATTGCCGGGGCAGGGGCGTGGCCGACTGTACAGCGCTGGCGCTCTGTCTCCGAGTCACAGCCTACGCCCGTCATCGCCAAGTCTCCCAATGCGGACGACAGTGATGGTGAAGGTCACCCCGCACCAAGCTACAATGCTTCCATGGCCGCTGCTTTTGACAGCCTGGACACAAAGCTTCAGGCAGCAGGTGAGAAAAATATTGTTTCGTTGTGTCTGTCTTCTGGGTCTTGGGGAACTGGAAAACTCTTGGAGTTTCAGGAAACTGGCAAAATTCTTGGAGAAGTCTTGGGAAAAATAAATTTTCAACTAGATCTATTGTAAACGTATTTCCTCGAAGTTCAGAAGGCCTCAACTTTATGCATTCTGAATAGAGCAAAAACGAAATATCTGGTCACATGGGTTGGCTGAGATACAAAAATTCTCTCATTTCCTTCTTGTAAAACCAGCCGGTGTGCGTAGCGGACGAGACGAGATGGGCCGTCGCGGGTTGACAGTTTCCACATTTCTTCCTTGCCAAATAACATTTTTCCCCCCGTTAATTAGAACAAGCGTTGCAGCCTTGATTTTGGTATTCATAAGAGATTTTCTTCCGAAATGACTCGTCATTTGTCTTGGGGAAAAAAAAATCTAGTGTTAAAAACTCTTGGAAAAGTCTTGGGGGGGAGTCCTTCTCAGTATGAACCCCGATTTAGAGTGACCGCAATGCTGTTTCGTTACTGTATGGCTTCGGCTTCAGAACGTTTTCATCCTGACCCTGCTAGTGGTTGGAGGATGTGTGTGAGATCCTACTTCTTCACTCTGAGATACAGGCTTGCCAAACTGTTTCCCCTGTTTTCTTGGGACTTACTCAGATTTGACAGTCGGGCAACTCAAGTGACGGACTAACAAATCATAAAAGACTTCTGTCCTTTTTATCCACCTATAGCTTTGATATTAACAATGGGGGAAGCATTTAAGTTTTCGAGGTTCATTTAGCTAATGTAGAATTACATTCTAGTAAAATTTGGATGTATTCCAATCAATATTTTTGGCATCGACATAATTCTACACTTGACATTGTGGGTGATTGGCGGGTGCTTTGGTGTGGTTTGCTCCTTCTTTCCTATCAAACATCCATCGTCCTTATCTGTCCTCCTTTTTTGTGTATGGTACTCTCTTGTAATACATCTATTCTTTGGCACTTATATGACCTTATTGTGTTCCAAGTGCCGTAGAACTGTTACTAAAACTAAAACGCTTGACATCATTGTGAGCCTGAGCTTACTAACCTCTCATACTCCTCCCTGAAAACGCCTGGGGATTCCCAGTTTGTTTATTCCGTGCAGCTTTCGATGATCAGGGGTCTCTCAAATTTTTTAAAGAAGTGGAATTGGAAAGCAATGACTCAGTTCTGGGGTATTTTTTAACGATACACCATGATTGCTCTGTCACACTCTTAAGAATATTTAATTTTTGAGGTTGAAAGAATGTGTGGTTTCTAACTAGTGATGCTCAGGCCACCAGACCGGTAGATGATGGGCTTCTTTTTCCTCAAACTAAATGACAGTCATTGTGTCGATGTGCTTCTGTTTCCCTCAATCTAATTGATAATTATTTTGTCAATGTTCATCTTTTTCCTCAAACCAGTTAGTGGATTTGCTTCATTTATCTCAAACGAAACTAGTCATTATTGTGTTGATGTACATTCAAACAAGCATGTCTAGCTTATTTCCTATCAAAATCCTATCTTCTTTATCTACCCTCCCTTTTTGGGGTTATTTTCTCGTAAACACCTCTAGTCTTCAGCACCTATGATCTTTTTGTGTTGCTAGTGCAGTATAACTTTTGCTTTAACACTTTGCCGCCACACAGCGGCGATGTTTACCGCCGAGTTTCTTTGGATTTTCCCCAAAATGCCTTTGCCTTTGGTGGCAAGGGTTTTTACTATATGAGCCTTGTGATAGCAAAGTGTTAAAAAAAATAAAAGACTTGTAGTTTGGCTGTATTGATGATTCTTCTGTTTCTCTTCCTCCACAGCCACAGAGCCAGAAGTGATGGCGTCGCCCGGCCCAGCCGGAAGCGGGAAGAAGAAAAAGAAAAAAGAAAAGCAAGTCCTGTTCTCGACCTCTATGGCTCGGAAGAATTAGCCTACTTGGGTTTTTTCCCTCTTTTGGCTGAATTTTTAATCCCTATTGTGAATTTGCAAGACTTTTTACATTTGCATTTTTATTTTATTAATCTTGGAACCTTCCATTCATCTTTTAAATGTAAAAAAAAGTTTGCATTGACAAATTTCAGTGGTTGTAATTGTATAGAATACCAGTTACTCCTTCTGTTTGGTAATTATTTCTTCTGTTTGAGTTGTCAGGATTGGTTGGCTACTGGCATGCCTGGGCTTGGGCTTTTCTGTGTCAGGGGCCGACCTCCCCAGTTCGCTCGGAGTTTAGTGTCCATCAGTTCCATCAACGTTTGCGACCTCAGATCTTTGATTCCTGTGATGCGATAGGGAAATTGGCCTGCTCACTATGCTTGTAAAGGATTTGAATTCAATTTCTCTGTTCTGTTCCTGGGATAATTTTGTCAAGTATGTCCTTGTTTTTAGGGGGTTTTTTTCCCTGAGATGCAGCATCTTTTCCCAGCAACCCCAGCCAGCCGTGACAGGCAAGGGAAAGCAGCCTGCCTCCTAAATGGTCTGAATTGTTTGTTGGGGGTGTGTGTGTGGGGTGGTGTTGAATGATTGCTGGAACAAATTTCAGCAGCCCCGGTGACCTATGGTCGTGGAAGGGGTTGATTTTTGTTTCAGAGGAACAACACTTCAGGAAAGTGCTGCAGTTGTGTGGTCAGTATGTTTAGTTCTTCCCACGGAGAACTGTGCGTTCTCCCTCTCCTCTCTATGCAAGTCTGTTATCCGTACGCTGCTGTCTAGTCGTGAGTCTTGCTGTGTGGATGTGTTTGTTTGCTCATTCAGCTTTTTCACCATGACTTTATTTAACTGAAAAACTTGTATGTCTTTTTTTTAGGGGGGAGGGATGCATTTTCTTGTGACCCCATGTCAAAGGGCCGAAACCTTAGGACATGATATAGCTTTAAGCCACCATTACTTTGAAACTAAATGGAGTTGGACTCTAGATGGCTCCTCCATTCTCTTTTCCCCCTCGTTTTACTGCATCGAATAGTTCTTTTTTTATAGACATCATACAGGTTAAAGACTTTCTAATTTAGCCTAGGAAACCTTGTTGGTAGCAAGACCAAGGAGATGCGCTTTCCTCGTGTTTTGTGTTGTGGGCACCGAGCACTCCGCCCTGTCCCAGTGTGTTGGCCCACCAGCCAATGGGAACAGCACACTTGGAGCTCAAGTAGTGGGACAGTCGTGTGTGGTGCCGAGGTCTAGGTAGCAGAAACCACGGAGGAAAGGCTCATCTCTTGGTAGTGTACACTGAAAAATACATGTCTCGTGGCAGTGGATTCTGTGAAACGTTTGATGTAGATATGTACATGATAGCTTCAGAAAGCTAAAAGGATCAATTTTTGGTTTTCTTCGGTACTGGCGTAACTTCTTTCCTAATATTATGTCTGTAACCTTTTGTTGACAGAGCTTTTTGTGTTGAGGGAGATTATTGGAAGAAAAATTCTGTTCTAAAAGGTTTGATGTTTGTGTGTGGTTGTGGTAGAAGATGGAGAGGAAGACCACCTTTGTTGTAAAGACTTGTTATTTAGTTTCATCCTTTGTTCTGCTGAAATGATGTACAATTTTACTGTAGACAGAACTCCCAAAAGCCACTTCTTATTTTCTGTGGTGAACTGTTGAATGTAAACCTCCCCTGCTTGAAACTCTATTTTGAGTATCCAGAGCCATGTGTTAAATGATAACACTCGCTTCGGTGTCACATAAAGAAGACACTGATTTCATTTCTCGTGTGAGATGAATTTTCATCTAGTATCCCAGTCTTTCTGCTGGGATGTTGTATCCCTCTCAGCTTTGGTGAGCCCTGGTTTACAGGGTCAAAGCCTGTCTCTTCCTAAATGATCTAAAATGTTTTTGGAGGTGTATAAACACCTTCATTAACAAACAAACAAAAAAACCAACATTAAATTAAAAAACAACCAAAAACAAAATCGTCTCCCAACCTCAGATTTCCTCAGTGTAAGTGCCGTACTACATAAAATATTGTGATAATACTGGAATTGTTATCACATGTGAGAAACTGGTTGATGCGATTGCCCTATCTGTCTTTCACTGCATGTGTTGAGCTTGGTGTGTGCGTGTGTGTGGTGCGGGTGGAAAGTGCAACGGATTGGGGTGAGCATGTTGTTTTCTGATCAGCGTTTTTTTAGTGTGAGTGGGGTTTTTTGGTTTTGTTTGTTAGTTTGTTGCCTGTTGCAGTTCCGATGGAGGTGATTTGTTGAGAAGGGCTTGGAGAGAGAGAAATCCAAGAAGGTTGTTTTTTGTCAGATGCCTAGCTTCAGTTGTTTGTAGATCACCCTTCTGTTAGGTCAGGTTGTTAATGTGTGTTCTGGTGTGATATGTGATTCTACTGGGGTTTTTTCTACAACATACTGGACTCAGTCATCTCTTGTACAGTTGTTTTAAACTCGTGCAGTCCCCAAAATGTTAATGAGAAGAAGCTGAAGTAGACCAAACTTTGGAACCCATTCTTCAGTTGAGCAAGACCCACAGAGCTTAATTAATATATATGAAAAGTAGCCCAGCCCCACGTCAGTAGAAGCTGTTTGGGCCAACGAAGGAACTAAGCAGGACGGCCCAGTATAAGGTGATAGACACCAGTCTGTAAGTGTGATGTGTTGCTGAAGTCATGGTGTTACTTAGCAAAGATTTTGGGTTTTTTGTGTGCCTAGAAAATACTCTTTTGCTTGGTGAGTGGTATGTGTGGGGCGAGATGCATGGTCTTCTAGTTGTAAATGTGTGTTAATAGTCGGTATTTAAGCCACAATAGTCTTTTTACATTCACGTCATTGTTGTGTCAAAGATAAATGTTTGTTTTGAGGTATTACCTCCTGCTAAAGAGTTGATTATTATAATGGACAGAATTATTTCACCCATGCCATGTATACCATACTTTATTATCCACTTATACCGATTGGCATTGTAGAGGGGAGGGGATCAGCACTAGGGACAAATTCTGTCCTTGATAGACAGTTGTTGTATTGTTGAAACCAGTTCTTGTAAAGTAAAAGATACAGAAGTTGTATCGTAGTGATAAGTTTTTAGAATTCAAAGAAATTGTCTTCGATTTTTTAAAAGTTTTAAGATCTCCCCACCTACCTCCCTTTTTTTTGTATGTTTGTGTTTGCACTAGTTTTTTCCTTTGCAAGATTCTGTAAGTAATGTGTCAATAGTGTCGCTGTGTATTATGTTTGTGTGTGAGTGAGATGCAAGATTCTGTAAGTAATGCGTCATAGTATCGCTGTGTGTTGTGTTTGTGTGTCTGAGTTTGAGATGATGGCATTTATGCGATGTCAGAGATTTCAATTGTTGAAAGTTTTGTACAGCGGGCGTATTTGATTCACAGGGAGGTTGAGACTTTGGTGGCAGTGATTGCCTTCACAGCCATCTCAGGTCTTTGCCTTGGTACTGGTAATTTCTCGTCTGTAGCCGACCTGGTTCTGTCCCAAAAAATAACTGTATAGTCCATTTATCTATCACTATCAGACACTGCTAACGAATAGCCTGAAACATTTTTATTTGTAAACAAGGTGTTGGCAATAAAACCCAAGTTTTCAACAGATTATGCTTTTTTGTGTTGTTTTTTTCTACAAATCTTGTAAGTGGATGGTTGGCATGTGTGGTTTGCTCCTTCTTTCCTATCGAACATCTATCGTCCTGATCTCTCCTTTTTTATGTTTGTTACTCTCTTATAGCACTTCTAATCTTCGATTGTGTTGCAAGTGCTGTAAAACTCTTACTTAAGCTATAAGGTGCTCTGGTGTGGTTTGCTCCTTCTTTCCTATCGGACATCTGTTCTCCTTATCTGTCCTCTTTCTTTTTTTTTGGTGCTACTCTGTTGTAATGCCTCTAATCTTCGGCATTTATAATATATTACCTAATTGTGTTGCAAGTGCTGTAATACTCTTATTACAACTTGAAAAAAAAAACTTTGTTCTTCTGTCACACGGACTGACCAATTTATTTCTGTTATGGTACCTCATTTACTAACGTTCATGCCGAAATCCCGGGTCTGCTCATTGAAAGGAGATAACCGGAGTCCATCAAGTGTGCTTTACCTTTATGGCGACCATAAAATTTCTTCTGTCAAGTCCCTTGTTGTGGTTGGTTGGCGGGTGCTCTGATGTGGTTTGCTTCTTCTTTTCTATCAAACATCTATCGTCTTTTATCTCCTCCCCTACTTCTTTTTTTGTGTTTGTTACTCTCTTGTAACTCATCTAATCTTCGGTACTTCTATTATGACCTTTGTTGCAAGTGCCGTAAAACACTTACTAAAACAAAGTCCCTTGTTAGTGTGGAGCATTCAGCCTGGGTAATTTTTTTTCGAACCCATTTTGTACTGATGGTTAAATTTAATATCATATTTTCGTTCTCCTGTTTCAGAACTTGACCGGGTCAATTCCCGAGAAAATACAAAATAATTTGTAGACCAGTTAATTTGCCTTTGGCGAAAAAGGCACTCCAAGGAACGGGGATATGGTGTGGTATTATGAAAATGAGCACAAGGTCTCTTCTTCTTGTCAGCTACTGTC